AAAAAAAAAAAAAAAAAAGTTAAGTCTTCTTTGTCCTAATTGTATTTGTACATCAAATAAAAAAAAATACAACATTACCAAGTCTTAGATTTGGTGAAAATCTATTCAATCGGTTAACTTGATTCTAACTCAACTCATAAAAAGGGATTAAATTCTATATATCTCAATTACCCATAGGTAATCCCTATTATCAACTCATATAGATGATGGGTTGGGTTAGGGTCAATCCACGGGTTAACGAGTTGATCCGTTTGTTTTATTTTTTATTATTATTATTTTTAAATATTATATTTATTATTCTTAATTAATTTTCTTATTGGTAACTCATTCTATTAATTCATATTCCTTAATTTCTAAAGAAAGATGAAGAAATTCCTTAATTTCTAAAGAAAGATGAAGAAATTATGATGAATTTGATCTAATTATTCAAGTATCATTTTTTTTTTGTAATAACAATTACCCAAGTATCATGAATGAAATGATAATGCAACTAAAAATATTAAAAGATGTGATGTTAGGATATAAACATAATAACTTAGTGAAATATGTTCTTGGAAGAGCAATTTCATCATTAAAAAATGGGTTAAATATTTTAAGATAATTATAAAATTAAAACTTTATTTTTTTAGAAATTTAAATATTTTATGTTTAATATTGTTATTGTTAATCACCTTATTATTATTTATAACTTTATAATTTTTTTTAATTTAATTGTTTGCGTTGAGATTATAAAATACTTAATTTTAATAAATCATAATACTTTAATTATATTTAGATATATATAATTTTATTTGTATATAATAAAATTAATAATTAATAATTATAAATAATAAAAATAAAATTAATTCATAAGTTAACTCACAACCCATTAGAATCGAATTAAAGTTAAACTTTTTTAATCCACAACTCATTCATAACCCAACTTATATAATTCATCACTCGAATTGACCCTGAACTCAAACCACCCCAATCCCTCGTTTGCCGGGTCTACCGGGTCTAAAGGTGGAGAAAAGATGCACATGAAAATATAAATTTTATTATTTTTATTTAAAAATAAAAAATTTGTTAATTTTAAAATAAGATGATAAATTTTTAATTTTTTAATTTAAAGATATTAATATTATTTTTTATTTAAAAATTAATTAGATAATTAAAAAATTATTTATTATATCAATATTGTCATTTA